TTCAATCACTGAGCCACATCCCCTGCCCTATTTTGTATTTTATTTAGAGACAGGGTCTCACTGAGTTGCTTAGAGCTTCACTTTTGCTGAGGCTGGCTTTGAATTTATGATCTGCCTGCCTCAGCCTCCGGAGCTGCTGGGATTACAGTGCACCACTATGCCCTGCCCCTGCCTTCTGCTTCTTTGAATTTAATTTCACCTTTTATTTATAGTATCCTAAAGTTGGAGTTTGGCTGATTTTATATCTTTTATGTCTAATATAGGCATTCAATGCTACAAATTCTGTGTAAACACAACTTTTGTTATTTCCTCCAAGTTTGGAAAAGTTTATTTTCATTTACTTCAGAATATTTTTAAATTTGTGAGATTTCTGTTTTCATCCATGCATTATTTAGTATGTGTGGTATAATCTCTAAAATTGTGGGGATTTTCCAGTTAACTCTCTGTTAATGATTTCTATTTTAATTTCACTGTGCTGAGAGCAGACATTGTATGATTTTTATTCTTTTATATTTGCTACTATATATCCTATGGCTTCATAATGTGGTTTATTTTTGGTCATCTGTTAGATGAGCTTGATGTGAATGTGGGCATAGAGTTATTCATAATGTTCTTTAGAGGTCCATTATGTCCAGTTGGTAGACAATTTTGTTAAGTTAAGCTAAATTCTGCCCATTTTATGCCTGCTGAATCTATTTCTCATACAGAGGTGTTGAAGTCTCCAACAATAATAAGTGGATCATATATTTCTCTTGAAGTTATATCAATTTTTGTGTCATATGTTTTGATACTTTTTTCTTAGGCACATACATGTTAAGGATTGTCATGTCATTTTGTAGAATTGACCCATTTATCATTATGTAGTTCTCTTTGTCTTCGATGACATTCCTTGGTCTTATCTCTTTTCTGCCCCAAGTTAATACAGCAACTACTGTTTTCTTCTGATTAGGGCTAGCACATGAAATACCTTTCTCTCTTCATTTTAAACTATATGTGTCTTTATATTTATGGGGCATTTCTTGTGGACAACATACAGGTTCATCTTGCTTTTTAATCCATCCTGATAATGTGTCCTTTAATTGGTACATTTAGACTATTGATATTCAAAGTGATTACTGATATATTTGAATTAATATCTATCATAGTTATTACTATTTTCTATTTGTTGCCCATATTCTTTTTTCCTTATATTTATTTTTATGCCTTTCATGGGTTTTAATTATTTTGTATGATTTTTTTTTCTTTTTTTAGCATATCAGTTGTGCTTTTTTACTTGCAGGGGTTATAATATATTTACAGTTGGTCCAAGTTCACTTTCAACCAATACAATAGTATTTCATGGGTAATATGAGGACTTAAAAAAAAACTAGTCTTAATT